CCCCAGCTCCTCTTCTCCACTCCCAGCTTCAGACCCGGGTGGAAGTCTTTGTCCCCCAGCGCCCCTTTGCTCCCCCTTTCCGCGGGATGAGGCGAGCCCCGCCGAGGGGCGGAATTGTCTCCTGAAAGGACTGCGGCTGCGAGCCGGCCTCGGGGAGGAGGATCGGAGGCGGCGGGTTTGCGCCGGGTGTCGCCCGGGAGAAGTGCTAAAGCCGGCCGGCGCAGCTTGGACTCCGGCAGTGGGAATAGCTCTGTCCGCAAGCGGTAACGTAACCCCTGTGGAAGGGCTGCCCCTATCAACGTGCTGCAGCTTCCTCTGGTGTAGTAGTCGCTCCCCCACACACTGCTTAGGCTGCACGGGGGTTTTGTTCATTCCTGCACATCATCTGTTTCTTGTTGGATGATTAAGGCAATAATGGGCTCCAGGCTTTTGGTTCCAGCTTTTTACCATCACGTGATTTATGTACAGGGTGTATATAGGGCTCAGCACTGCTTTCCGAGCCTGCTCAACTCCGTTGAAACCAGCAGGCATTGCATGAACACATCTGTGGGCAGAGTTTGGCCCATCCAGTTTATTTTTCTGGTAACTATAGCACTTCTGTATACAAATGTGCTCAATGGGCAGAACTTAGGAAATACCATATGTGTGAATGCATCTGTTGAATTCATAGCCTGACCATGATATGCAGGCATGTGCTTCTCGCTGTATTGCTGCCTTGGCTGCTGTCATGACTGGTGGATTTTAACATAGATCACTGCAGCAATTCAAGTCAGACCAGTACTTAGTGCTTTGGTTTTTTCTTTGTCTGTAAGAGGTCCCCAGGTCTAGGATGCATTTGCCTTGTTTGTTATACCTTTATATCAAACTGAAATTCCAAATCAGGTCTGTGCTCAGGTGTTCAGGTCTGTATAGCTATAAAGATTCAGATAGCACCCAAGTTGGATGCAGATCAAACTCATCTGCTCCTACCAATGGGACCAGCCACACACTTAAAGAAAGGGTGTTCTTTACTAGTTACATTGCCCAAGTTCTCTTGGAAATAATTATCCTAATTTAAATAAAAATGATAGCTGTCTGTAAGTAGGTGGGGTGGGGGGATGTTGTTATGCCTGAGTACACATCATCTTAAAAAGCAACTGAGAGAGAAATTCATTTGGTTAAGGGGAAGACTCAGTTTTGCTCTGACAGCTCAAAAGCTGAAATTCTGCTTTTAAGAGAAAAAGGCGACTGAGCGGGAGGTGACTGCTGAGCTCTGCTCCCAGTGGGGCTTTCAGGGTCGAGCCCTCGATCAGAGCCCACCAGAGACCTCACCTCTGTGACTGCGGAGGTGACTTCCTTTGCTAGGGACCCAAAGTCTCCGAGATCATTAAGTCAGTATTGCAGCAGGACAGAGTAGTTTATTATCAGAGAGAAACTCTGAGAATGCTTTCAAACAGTTTACATTTCCAGATTGGATCTAGTTGGACATGGGTTGAGCAATCCAGTGTTGGATCTTCCAGTTGGCTACTTTGGCTATGTCATGAATCTGGGTTATACATAATCCCTGCTGCCAGCGGGCTC